CATCCTCACCATTCAACGGACACAATTTCTTTACCTGGAGTTTTGAGTTCGAGCTGCTGATGGAGGCTGCGCATCTCTTGGGATACTTCAACGGGTCCCTGCCATTCCCAAGCAACGGCACTGGAAAGGAGCAAGAAATCTTTACGTATCAGTCGCTGCTGGCGTATACAGTTCTCCTGCGGAACCTGTCGCCACAAGAACAGCAGAGCATCTGAACGTATCGGAGCTACGGAAACTCCGCGGAACTTGCATGGCATCATCTCAAGTGTCTCTATCAAGCAAACGACAGCGTGACACAAAGCAGACTCATGCAACAGCTGACAACAATACAGATGAAGACCGGGGAAAAGGCGATGCAGTATATGAGTCGATGCCAAACACTCCGCGACCGCCTACTTCGGTGCGGAGGAACAATCACTGAAGAAAGCTTCGTGACGCTTGTCCTCGCCGGGCTCGGGCCAGAATGGAGAACCACACGCTCGCTTCTTCGCGCCCAGGGAAGGATATCGAAGATGCACCTCTGCGCCGAGCTTCACGCTGAACAACAGGAGATGGACCTGTTCGAAGAAAGACAACCAAGGAAGCAGCAGCAGTTAGTTTTCTACACTCAACGAAGGAACGACAACAACTACAATCGACGCGGCAAACAAGATCAACGCGACAACAGAGGACTCACCTTTGTGCCACCGTTCTGCCACAACTGTCAGACTTCTGGACATTCCAAAGTCAACTGCACACGTCCTCGTGTTTATCGTCCAGTAGACCCACACGTCGCCTCCACTCAAGAAAGCCCTCCAAGGCGCTCTTCCACATCTGCACAAGGGACACCGAACATCATTAACTGCATGGTACACATCGACAACTGCGCACCCGGATCACCACCCACTTACGCACCAGACGAAGAAGAACTTCCGCCGCCGCGCTCACAAGGACTTGAGGTCAACCCGACATACGCTGCGGTCGCCAACGCCGAACCCACTGGGCGAAACACCTGGTTCTTGGACAGCTGCTGCGGTCAACACATGTGTTCTTCCGGGCGCTTCGTGCAACGAGAGCGACGCCTCACCCGCGACGTCATCATCACCATCGCCAACAACGAAAACCTGAAAACAAACAGACAAGGAGTGGTTCAGTTACAATCCATGGAGACAAACGTTATACTTCAACTCAACAAGGTCCTCATCGTCGACAACCTGGGTACAACTTTCTAAGCGTCAGCCAGCTAATGGCAAAAGGGATTCACCTAGAGTGCGACTCCTACTCCAACGAGTTTCGCCTTTACCACGGGAAGGGCGGCCTCTTCATCGGTCGTGCTCTCATGAAGTCTGGCGTCTTCGTGTTGGACTTCGTCCCCGACCGCGGTACTGCCGACAGCGATGGGATTGTGTCGTTCACCGCCTGGACACACCCGCCGGATCTTGATCCCGACTTCAACACCATACCTGCAGGTACTCCAACACCATACCTGCAGCAGAGAGAACACGAGCATTAGCAGTCATCAGACAAGAAAGACAAGTACCAGCAAGTGTCCCTTCCCAACCATCACCTGCAGTAGCAGCAGCAGGACCCAGCCGAGTACCACCACCAGCAATCCGCGGACCGCCAACTGAAGCAGATCAACTTATGCCCATCACACGAGAAGTCTGCCGAAGTCCTGCCACGGTCGTCGCGTTCTTCTCCAACACCGACATGTACCAACGCTCGCCCGGCCATCGAGCTTCCGACGACATTTGGCACCAACGCCTTGGGCATCCTGCAAACAGCACCGTACTACAAACAATCCAAGCCGAAGTATTAGAACGAAACGCTCTTCTTACAACAAGCGGCCAAGAACTTCGAAGACCTAGCGCACGGTGCTTCACGTGCCCCGAAGCAGATCTTCCCCATCAACCCTTCCCATCACATCACAATCCAAGCGCGCCTGCATATGCACCGATGGAAAAAGTTTACAGCGACATCTTAAACATGCCTCGAGACGACACGGAGGCCGACTTCAACTACGTCATCACTTTTATCGATGCAGCAACAAGATATGTTTGGCACTACAACCTCAAGATGCGCGATCAAGCCTTCGACGCCTTCACGACATGGCTCCCCATCGCCGAACGCGAATCAGGAACCAAGCTCAAGAGCTTCCAGTCAGACGGTGCACTGGAATACCAGTCACAACGCTTCAGGACCTATCTGGCGGAAAGAGGAATCAGACGCCTGGTGTCTCTGCCCTACGCTCACTAGCAACAGGGGGTCGCAGAAAGAATGAACCGGACCTTGCAGACGACGATGCGGAAGCTGCTCCTGGGGATGAGACTACCCAACGCACTGTGGCCAGACGCGATGACCCATGCAGTCCACCTGCACAATTTGCTCTCCTCGTCATCGCTCCCCAACAACGCATCACCGCACCTGCTGTGGACACGAAAAAGGGGCAGCACAAAATTACTTCGAGTTTTTGGTTGCATGGTACAGTACAGACCCCACACAGCCCGAGCAGGACGCTTCACTCAACGAGCTCGGTGGGGACTACACCTCGGCATCGCCAAACATTTTCACGCATGGAAAATCCTCGACATACACGACAAGAATACGCTGGCATCACGTGATGTTATCTTCTACGAGCGACTGACGCTGCAGCATTACCTGGACAACATTGCCAACACACGAGACCCCACCGACGGCCTCGCGGGCCTTCGTTCCTTCGCCGACCGTGCTGCCGAGGCTGACGCAGCAGAAGAAGACGTACCTGGAGCCTCGGAAGCTGCCGGACCACTCCCTTTCTGTTCCGTACCTGTCCCACTCGATGAACACAATCCTCTCGATAGCAACAACCTCGACACCTTTTACCACTTCGCTGACCAAGGTTACGCTACACCCCACTCGGTCGAAACGAATGTTTCAGAACTCATCGGCCCAAACTAATTACCTGATCCAGAAGACGGTGACGAAGCAGCCTATTCCGGGAATGAAAATTCCCCTCGACACACACCAACGGGACTGCAGATACTCGGCCTATGGGTCTCCGTCCAGCATCCGCCGCCGCCATCTCCGCGCGAGCCCTCGACTCTGTCACAGGCTCTGGGGGGGGAACATAAGGTGAAATGGAAGGAGGCGATGGAATAGGAGTTAAAGGCTCTGCAAGACCGAAATACATGGAAGCTGGTACCTGCAACAAGCATCAACGGGAAGAACGTCCTCTCGGGAAAATGGGTGTAACGCATCAAGACCAATGCGGACGGTTCCACCGAACGATTCAAAGCTCGATGGGTCGTACGAGGGTTCGATCAACGATACGGAACCGACTACACAGAAACATTCACCCCAGTCTCCCGTCACACCTCATTGCGCATCCTACTCGCCGTCGCGGCCACGAAAAAACTACCACTGCGCCAAATCGACGTCGCAAACGCTTTCCTGTACGCACCTGTGGACGCTGAGATCTTCGTCGAGCAACCCCACGGATTCATCGACGACCCCACGAAAGTATGCCAGCTGGTAAAATCCCTATACGGGATCAAGCAAGCCCCGCGGCTCTGGCAGCAGCATCTTCACGGTCGCCTCGTAAAAATCGGATTCCTACAGCTGCCACATGACCAAGGCATGTACCGACTGCAAAAGGGAAGAGAGTATATCCTACTCATCGTTTACGTCGACGACCTGCTCTACATCGGTTCCACTACTGACATCGCCACCTGGTTCGAAGGGGAGCTGAAAGAGGACTTGATACTCACGGTGGCCGGCGCAGTGACCCAGTACCTGGGACTGAATGTCGTCGAAGACAACTCAGCGCTCTACCTACACGCTGGAAAGTACGCAGGCACTGTCGTGAAGAAATTCGGCCTAACGCCGACTACGGCCTCGACTCCCTACCGCTACGGGAACAACAACAGCACCTCCGCAAAACTCCCCGCGAAGCAAATCCGGGAGTATCAGCAGAAGCTCGGCTGCCTACTATTCGCAGCAGTAACCTGCCGACCCGATCTCTCTTACAGCGCGAGCCAACTGGCGACGCATCTGAAGCAGCCGGAACAAGAAGATCTCGAGGAACTTAATCGGGCACTACTTTACTTCGTCTCCACGCCGACGACCGGGCTCACCTACAGCAAAGTAACGACACCGTCCGTACGACTACTCGGATACGTCGACGCCGACCACGCGGGAGACAAAGAAAATCGACGATCGAGAACGGGCTACATCTACCGACTAGAACCTATCGGAACTATCTCCTGGCAGTCGAGTAAACAGGAACTAATCGCACTATCTTCGGCTGAAGCAGAATACATCGCCCTCTGTACTGCGACCAAGGAAGGACTCTACCTACGAGAGCTGCTAGAGGAAGCGAAGATTGCGACCCTGCCCGTCTTCTCACTCCTCTGCGACAACCAATCTGCGATCAAAATCGCGAACAAGGACGGCTTCGCCAACCGAACCAAGCACATTGCCCTGCAGTATTTTTTCGTCAAAGATGAAATCGCGAAGGGGAGACTTCAACTCAGTTACTGCCCTACAACAGAAATGGCCGCAGACTACCTGACGAAGAAACTGGCGAAGGCGAAATTCGATTACTGCATGCTGCTGACCAGGCAGACAAACATCACCGGATCTGAACACGTCAGCACTCCAGAAACGAAGGGGAGTGTTGGAAATATCTCAAGGACTTAAGCGTTTCTGAAGTGTAGCACCACACTCGAGGAAGATCGTAACGAGTACGCGAGTCAACGGAGGTTACACGAAGGGAATGGACAAAGAACACGAAAGGACTCGAAGGGTCGCAACCGGAGGTTGCGACTGACCGTTACAACAACGCGGATGGTAACCGAAGCGACAATCGAGTCGCTGTGCGACTCGATAACCGCTCCTGCAACTGTATTCTACAACTGCTTTACTTTCCTATTTTCTATATATTGTTGTATGCTTGCTTTCTTAATCAATCACTTGTTCTCATATACTAGTACAAGGGTTCAACTACTCAAGTCTCATTCTACAACTGGGACTTAGTCTCTGGAAAGATCCTAAGGGCTTTTCTCAGCCAAACAAATATGATATAATATACTCAACTTTTCTTTCTAACTACATGAGTGAAGCTTATAGATAGGAAAGACTGGCCTTCGACTACCACAACCGTTTTTGGTTTATTCTGAAGTTCTACTATGGTTTCTGCATTGTCCTCTCCCCATGTGGTCTGACGAATGACGGCCTTCGATCTTCCACCCACATTCAACTTGAACCCAGAGAGCCTCACAACAAACCTTGCATCCTTTGCCCTTTGAACCACTATAAACACACTCACAGTCCGTCTCTCCTTACTACGGAATGCAGCAACACTATGCCGACATTTTTGTGGCACCAGCAAAGGCCGACTCCCAGGATGTACAAGATCTGTTAACTGCTTTAGCATCCAAAACCGCTTCAGCTTGACAGGAGGGTCGAATGGGCCCGTGTAACCAGGGGGGTGTTCCCAGTTTATCCCAATCACTGACCATTTGTCGCCACCCCCATCGTAAATCTGCCAGTAAATGTAGGCAGAAGCTTCCAGGATGTTGACTGATTCAATGACATTCCGCATCAAGTAGAGGGAAAGATCGTAGGCATTACCCTGTCTGAGTAACGGACATGACTCGGATACCCAGACCTCTTTCCGAAGAGCCCTTGCCAGCAGCTTCATGTGAGTGTAACGCACAGTTGTCGCTGCTTTGGCCTGTGAAGTAGTAAGGTTGAAAAACATTTGTAACGGGAGGGGGTAACCATGCACATTAATCCTGTGCAGTAGGCTTTTGCCGATGACTAGTGGTAAACCCACACTGGTAAGAGCTGCGTTGCTATCAATCCCAACCAGCTTCGTCTTCAGCTTCCTTCTCCGCAGTGCCAGCCATGTCTTTAAGAGCACTCGACTCATTTCAGGCGGGTTGAAGTTGCACCCTTCCTGCTCCATCCCACTCACCCATTGCCCTTCAAGCCCTTCATTAAACGGCTCCAGCGAATTAAATGTGATGTTCCCAAGCGCCGGGTTCTTTGCAAACTCCTCCACGAGCGAGGTGCCCCATCCCTTCCACGTGGTTCCGATTCGCCTTGGAGTGATCGTCACTCGGAACGGCCCCTTACCGCCCGAGCACACTCCGAACCGCTCCCACGCCGGCTCTAGCGTCGGCGCTGGCGGTTTGCTCTTAGGTCCTGCCGCTAATGTGCTCAAATCTGCTGTGCCATTATTCCACGCGGTGTGATGCTCTGAAGTAGGAGGGCCAGGTTCACCGGATGCAGGCCTGGGTCCAGGCTCGGATGCAGGCTTGGCTCCAGGCTCGGAAGCAGCCTTGGGTCGAGGCTCGGATGTGGCATCTGCGCTAGGTGCGTTGCTCGCTGCATCAGGTGAAGTCGACTGAACAGGAAGTGAGTTTGAAGGAGGTGACTGTACAGGAAGCGAGTTTAAAGGAGGTGACCGTAAAGAAGGTGACTGCTCGGGAAAAGACTGTAAAGGAGGTGACTGTAAGGGATGCGAATGTACAGCGGAAAACGAAGCATCCAATATATCAGCGGATAGTGGAACAGCATCCGATGTACGGACTCCGCTGCGGGAAATGGCGGCGAGCAGCAGCAGCAGCTGCACAACTTGCACGTTCACGGCAGCACTTCTTAGGATGAGGCTCATGATCCTTTGTTGAATACTACTCATTCAACGACTAGCTTACTCCTTACTTCCGTCTTCTAGCTGGCGTGTTGTTGCATTCGGGAGGAGAGATGAAAACTAGCACCATAAGCATTCTTGTTTTTGTTGTTGTTGTTGAACTTGTTTCCTTGTCCTCGAGTTTTGCTGTTCAGGTTTGCTTCCTCGAGCAACAGATTTTGTGTCACCTGATGCGACTTTGATGGTGGTTGGTGAATGGGCCTTTTGGACGTCTTCCCATGAGCAGTTGACGTCTAGGCGTCACATTTGTGGCAAAAGTAGGGACCTGGTTACTTTGAAGGCGATCGCAGAAGATGACTTCGTGGTGCTCAGACCAACCCTGATTCCCGATTTTCGTTCACGGACTGCATGGTCCTCGTCAGCATGGCACGTCATTTGACCGCCATTGGTGAGCCGTCACCGATACATTTGGTTTGGTTTAGCTTGTGTGTCACCGAGTCACACCCACCGACCTAGGCCAGCTGGGCCCCGTTGTTCAAAACCAATTTTTGAACTGAGCCCAGACCCAGCGACACGGCGGGTATCAGCCGAGAGAAATTTCGTACAGGCTCGTTCGGGTCGGGACGGTTGTTGGGTCCCCTTCCAAGATCTAGAGAACACCGACCGAGCCGTCGGATATTCGATCGCTGTCAATCGAGCCGTCAAATGTGGTTCACTTTCAGCAGAAGGTACCAATTCACCCAGCCAACCAACCAGCCTCGTCGCGCCTCGCCTTGACATGCCCCTCTCCAATCACCGCATTTTTGCCGTGTGCGGGTGTGCCAAGTGCGCGCCTGTTACCACGGGAATTCATCCCCCCCTCCCTCTTCCCCCCTCTTCCCCCCAGATGGGGGAAAACGTTCCCCCCACCCACAATCCTGTTTCCCCGTTTCTCTCAGCTATGGAGGACATTTTCTCCCGCCTCCGAGCAAACTGACATTCCTTCCGCCACTGGTGATGGAATTTCAATGCACCGAGGTCAGCGTCCCCCAACCACCCCAAACCAAATCAGCTTCGGGAATTCCGCGCCCTGGAGACCTCTGCTCAGACAACCCTCTTCCCTCTTCCCCCCTCCCCAAGCCCAAGTGACCCCTTCTCGGGATGAGCAGGGCACTCCCAAGGTCATGACACACGACACCTGACCAGACCGGACCGGACCGGACCCCTGACCCCCCAGTCATACAATCAACTGACCGACATGTCACCATCGCCTTGAGAAAGAGGCCATGGTAGTTCCTTCGTAGTCTATTTCCCGAGTTGTTCATCAGCCACATTGCGCGTTCCGCGTCAGACCCATTCGTAGACGCGGTTCAGCCAGCAAAAGGCCGCATTTCTTCCCATTTGTTCCGTTTGTGCTACTAATACCTGAATCCCTACATCCGTCGCACCTCGCGACTACACTACCACATAATAGATTCCTTTATTCCCCTGCCGATCCGTCTAGCTTCCATTTGACTCGGTCCGTCCGTGCAAACCGCTTTCAGCACTAAACTTCGCTACCGTACCGGAAGGCATTTCGCCGCCATCCCAGTCAAATGGTATTTAGTTCATTCGTCAACGCGGCGTTGACAATGCCCTCCGGTGTCGTCTTACAGCATCGCCTTCGTTCCCTTCGTCCCAGACTAGTAACGGCCCCGACTAGACCTCTTAAAACAGTCCTCGTCTGCCTCCTGGTTCTGCTCTCGGTGGGATCTCGAGCCACACTCGCTGAAGGATCGTTCATCGACGACGTCGTAGCGTTTTTCCAGCGGCTGAGCCCCTTCAGGGAAGCAAATGCTCCGGAGACAGCCACACCTCCTGTACAGTCACCTCCCGTACAGTCACCTCCCGTACAGCCTCCAGTACAACCGCCTCCCGTGCAATCGCCTCCCTTACAGTCACCTGCCCCTGCCTCTGCACCTGGACCTGAGCCTGGACTTATAACGCGGTATCCCACCGCATGGAGTGATACCGCGTATTTGAATACGTCAGCGGCAACAGGACCTAAGAGCAAACCGCCAGCGCCGACGCTAGAGCCGGCTTGGGAGCGGTTCGGAGTGTGCTCGGGCGGTAAGGGACCGTTCCGAGTGACGATCACTCCAAGGCGAATCGGAACCACGTGGAAGGGATGGGGCACCTCGCTCGCATGGTGAGCGAATTGTAATAAACCCTCTGCCGGACCTCCTTCTACCAACCTCCTCTATTACACCATATCCCCCCATTTCCCACTTCTCCCTCGCCCCATCTCCACCCTCTCCTCTTCCCCCCCCCCCCACCCAGGCTGGGCAACTACATAGGCGGGTTCCCCAAGGCGGCGATGGACCCCCTTCTAGACCTCATGTTCCTCCCCTCAGGCCTCGGCCTCAATATAGTGCGCTTCAATATAGGCGCCGGCTCCCTCCCGCAGTACAGCCCTCAGCTACACTCAGACGCCCTGCTTAGATGGCGAGCCATGCCAGGGTACTGGCCTGCACACACTGGGCAATTCAATTGGACGGCAGACTCAAGGCAGCAGGCGGTGCTGCTGGGAGCAAAGGCCCGGGGGGCGAATGTGTTCGAGGCGTTTTCTAACAGCCCCCCCTGGTGGATGACTCAAAGCAAGGACGTTGCTGGGGCAAAGAAGGCGTTTCAGACCAACTTGCAGAAGCGGTATGAGGGGCGGTTTGCGAAGTATTTGGTGGATGTAGTGGAGAGGTTTAAAACGGATCCGGCGTTGGGGAATATCGAGTTTGATACACTGGAGCCGTTCAACGAGGCGTTAGAGGGGCAGTGGATAAAGGGGATGGGGCAGGAGGGGTGCAATTTCAACGTGCCCGACATGACCCGGATAATTTTCAAAACCCGGCAACTTCTGGAGAAAAGAAAACTGAAGACGAAGCTGGTGGGTGTGGACAGTTTTCCGGGCATAACAGCTCTCTGGTTTCCACTGCTCCTGGGAAAAAGCTTCTTCCATCGTATAAACGTCCACGGTTACACGCTGCCGTTACAGAATGTGGTAAACATGACAGCCTCTGTCGCCGAGAAGACCTACTCCGCTCGTTACATCGCTATGAACGTCCTCGCGAAATCGCTCGGGAAAAATATCTGGGTGTCGGAATCTGGGCCGTTGAACAAGTTCGGGAGCAGCTACGATCTCTCGCTCTACATGATGCGGAACGTGATCGAATCGGTGAATCTTCTCGAGGTCTCCGCGTACGTCTACTGGCAAATTTTTGACCCGAATGAAGCATGGACCGTGCTCGGACTGAATTGGTACTATCCGCCAGATTATACTGGTACAGTAGACCCTCCCACGAAGCTTAAACGGTTTTGGATGTTTAAGCAGTTTACGGATTTGGTGAGGCCTGGGAGTCGGCCTTTATTGGTGCCGCGGCTTTGCCGGCACACTGTAGCTGCGTTCTACAGTAACCAGGGGCGAACGGTGAGTGTGTTTATAGTGAATCAACGGGTGAGGGATAAGGTGGTGAACGTGGTATTATCAAGGTATAACCTTAATGTGGGGGGAACAACTCAGGCTCTTATTAGGAGGACGACTTATGGAGAGGATAATGCTGAGAGTACTGTAGAGATTCAGGGTACCAGTAAACCCAAGGTTTCGGTGCTGGTTGAGGGCCAGACCTTCGTTTCAGTCACATTTACTCATGTACAGAGGACCAGATGGCCGTTTTGATGTAATGTTTTGCAATTTACCATGATTGACATTGCAGCAGCTGGTATGCTTGTCAAAGGTCGTTATTGTAGACTATACTGGATTGTGCCTTAGAGGGTACAACACCCTAGTCTATATACCCTTGTACTCACACATTCTAGTTCACTTATTCATTCTGATATGGTATCATAATAGGTTAGGTCCCCCCCTAGCCTGCCCACACTTCCGCCCCTAGGCCCTAGCCGCCGTCTTGCCCCGCTCCTAGCCGGCCCCCTGGCCGTCGCGCCCGTCCCTAGCCGGCCCCCTGGCCGTCGCGCCCGTCCCTAGCCGGCCCCCCTAGCCGTCGCGCCCGTCCCTAGCTGGCCCCCTGGCCGTTCGCGCCCGTCCCTAGCCGACCCCCCTGGCCGTCGCGCCCGCCCCTAGCCGGCCCCCTGGCCGTTCGCGACCGACCCTAGCCGGACCCCTGGCCGTTGCGCCCGTCCCTAGCCGGCCCCCCGGCCGTCGCGCCCGTCCCTAGCTGGCCCCCTGGCCGTTCGCGCCTGTCCCTAGCCGGCCCCCCTGGCCGTCGCGCCCGCCCCTAGCCGGCCACCTGGCCATTCGCGACCGACCCTAGTCGGCCCCCTGGCCGTCGCGCCCGTCCCTAGCCGCCCCCCTGGCCATCGCTCCCGTCCCTAGCCGGCCCCCCCTGGCGTCGCGCCCGTCCTTAGCCGGCCCCCTGGCCATCGCGTCCGTCCCTCGCCGCCCCCCTGGCCGTCGCGGCCGCCCCTAGCTGCCGTCGCGGCCGCTTCCAGCCAACTCAAGGCCGCCCCTCGCCATCGCGGCCGCCCCTAGCCGCCGTCGCTGCCGTCTCCAGCCGCCCCACGGTCGCTCCTGCCGTCGCGGCCGCCATTAGCTGCCGTCGCGGTCGCCCCTAGCTGCCGTCGCGGCTGTTCCCAGCCGGCTCACGGCCGCCCCTCGCCGCCGCGGCCGCCCCTAGCCGCCGTCGCTGCCGTCTCCAGCCGCCCCACGGTCGCTCCTGCCGTCGCGGCCGCCCCTAGCTGCCGTCGCGGCCGCCCCTAGCTGCCGTCGCGGCTGTTCCCAGCCGGCTAACGGCCGCCCCTCGCCGCCGCGGCCGCCCCTAGCCGCCGTCGCTGCCGTCTCCAGCCGCCCCACGGTCGCTCCTGCCGTCGCGGCCGCCCCTAGCCACCGTCACGGCTGTCCCTGGCCGCTGTCGCGGCCGGCTCTACTCGCTGTCGCGCCAGCTCCTAGCCGCCCCCCCCCCCCCCCCCGCTGCCGCCGTTTGCTGGCCCCTTGCGTCCGTCGCCCGTCGGCCCGCCTCGGCATTCGCGTCGTCGCCAGCCCGCCGCCGCCTCGGGGTCGGCGCGTTCTTCCCGATCCGCACCGCCCTGCGATCCGGTACCGTACTAAACCGCCTTGCACCGCACTGTACCGCACTGCACCACACTATACCGCACTGCACCGCACTGTACCGCATTGCATCGCGCCGCACCGCACTGTACCGCACTGCGCCGCACTGCACCGCACTGTACAGCACTGCACCGCACTGTACTGCACTGCACCGCACTGCACCGCGTCGCACCGCACTGCTCTCCACTGCTCTCTATTATCACTGATGGCGGAGGTGCTTCGCTTTGACGCTGAGGGCCAGCCGATTGAGTTTTATGCGTGGCTTGCTGACCTCCGTCACCACCTCACTGGTCAGCGGCAGGATGGCCAGTCTCTGTCTTTCCATCTTGACAGTACTCTCCCCTGCCCTGACCCCCCCGCTGCACTGTCTCCTGGTCCCTCGTCCACTGAGCGTGAGTCCACTGCGGCCGCTGCCCTTTCTCGCTCTGTCGGGCTGTCCCGTGACGCTGTCGCACAGCTGGCTATTAGCAATGCCCTCCCCCTGTCCGAGCGACCTCGCTTCAGGTCTATCACCACTGCCCAGGCTTTCCTAGATGATGTTTTCCAGCGCTATTCCACCCCGCCTGCTGCCTCGGTCGGTCGTCTGATCCTCCCCATGCTCTTCCCTGACCTTGCGTCGTTCCCCACTGTCACCGACCTGGCCGCTCACCTGCGCACTATAGACGAGACCTGGCATGCTGCCTGCACTCCCACACAGCTTCTAGCCCACCAGCCGCCCCTCACCTCTACTCTCTACCTGCTAGCCACCCGCCTTCCTGACCGTCTTGCCACTGCCCGTGACCACTTCCTCAGCGTCCACCCCGCAGACCTCACCCTCACTGACTTTGTTGACACCCTGTCTGCTATAGAGGCCCGCCACCGCTCTATCGCTGAGACCAGCGGTACTGTGCAGGTCCCTATCTTTCAGGGTTGCGCCCCCGCTCAGTGCACCTTCTCCAACGGTTCTGCTGCTGTGGCTGAGACTGCCACTGCAGCACAGTTCCGTCCGGGGAAGGGTCGCCGCCCCAAGGCTGGGCGTGGCGGCGGGGGTGGGGGTGCAGGTGTAGGTGGTGCTGGAGCTGGGTCTCCTGGTGGTCGTGCGGACAAGGGGTCCCTGCCAGGTGCAGCCGAGCAGCCGTCTCAGCAACCGCCAGCGTTGCAGCCGGACTCACGTCAGCCGCAGCAGCCGCAGCAGTCGCAGCCGCAGTAGAGACGGGCGAGTGGTCTCCCGTCCGGATGGCCTGGCGCTGGTGGTAGTGCTGGACGTGGTGGCGGTGCGCGTGGTGGGCTGCCGGGTGGTGGTTCGGGTGGCGCGCGCTATCAGTACCTACTCCAGACCGGTCCTCGCCGTGGATTCGTTTGCGGTAAGATCGGTCACACCTCCGTCCGCTGTTTTCGTCGCCTGGACGACCTGTTTCGTCAGCGTTTCGGCCCGTCGCCCGAGCTCCCAGACGGGCACAGTTTGCTTTGTCGTAGGGTTCAGATTTTTTACCTGGATATGGATGAGATTGTTACTGTTCTGCATGTGATGTATGCTGATGACTCTAGTGTGCTTCCGTCTTATTACCCCTTGTTGCCTAGTGTAGGTGTGCCTTGCTTAGACTCCCCTGCTGCGTCAGGCGTATGATCCCCTGCTTTGTTTAGCCTTGGTGCTCCCATCGCTGCTTCGCCTACGGCCGCCACTGCCGTGCTCTCCTTCACCCTCGACTCTAGCGCTTCTCGGTGCTTCTTCCGCGACTCCACCACGTTGACACCGCTTCCTGTCCCTGCCGTAGTCTCTCTTGCTGACCCCTCCTCCGGCCCTGTAGTCGCCCGCAGTTCCACCACCCTCCCTTGCCCGGCGGTTCCTTCGGGCTCGCTCACATGACTGCACATCCCCTCGTTCTCGAGGAACCTAGTTGGTGTCGGCTGTCTTCAGGACCTTGGCGTCACCACTACGTTCCCTGGTCACGAGCGGTACACTGTCTGTACCGAGGCCGCCACTGGTGCCCCCCTGTCCACGTTCCCCTGGGACCCGGCGTCCGGTCTTTTCACACTGGACACGGTGACCCCCCCGGCTGGGACCCCCCCTCAGGTGACTGCGGCTCCCCCAGTTGCTACTGCCTGCTCCTGTTGGTCTCTCACTCACCCGACTCTTCTCTCGCACCACCGCCTAGGTCACCCTGCGCTCCCGCGTCTGCGTCACATGTCACATCACGGTCTCGTCCTAGGCCTACCTGGGTCGTTCCCCGAGTTTCCCTCCTCCCCAACCCCACCTTGCACGCCCTGTGTCGAGGGCCGGCTCCGCCGTGCCCCTCACTCCTCCTCGTTTCCCCCTACTGCAGCACCGCTACAGACTCTGCACATGGACGTCTGGGGCCCCGCCCCCGTCCATGGGCCGCGACGAGAGCGCTACTTCCTAGTCCTTGTCGACGACTACACGCGCTACACCACTGTGTTCCCCTTGGAGCGGAAGGCTGACGTGCCTGCCGTTCTTATCTCGTGGCTTGTCTCTGCGCGTGTCCACCGCGGTCTCCCTGTCTTGCGTCTCCACTCCGATCGTGGTGACGAGTTTGTCTCTGGTGTCCTTGGTCGTTTTTGTCGTGCGGAGGGCATCACCCAGACGTTCACCTTGCCGGACTCCCCGCAGCAGAATGGAGTCGCTGAGCGACGCATCGGTTTGGTCATGGAGGTGGTTCGCACCTCCATGATCCATGCCGCGGCACCCCATTTTCTGTGGCCGTTCGCCGTTCGCTACGCCGCCCACCAGCTTAACATGTGGCCGCACCCCCAGCAGCCTCAGGTTTCGCTGACCCTCCTCTCGTTTGGGTCACCTGGTGACGCGACTGCGTTCTATGTCTGGGGCTGCCTTGCTCACGTTCGTGCCTCTGGCACGGACAAGCTCACTGCCCGCACCATTCCCTGTGTCTTCCTCGGCTTCCTCCTTGAATGACTGGCACTTCTACCACCCGTTGTCTCATCGGTTCTTTCACTCCTGGGTGGGTACTAGTCCTGGGACTCGTGTCGTGGCTTGTCCCAGCGGGCCTGGGGGTGGTACCGGTGCTCGAGGGGTTCTGAGCTTTGGGGGTGTTCCTTCTGTGGGTGCTGGCATGGAGTGTTCTGGAGGTCGCAGCCAGGCAGCTTGCTGTCCTGGTGTCGGTGTCACACCGCCGCCGCAGCAGTCCCCGCCGGTGTCCGCTCTTCACCTGCTCGGCCTTCCGTCCCCTGACCCCGTTCCCGTGCCTCCTCCTCCTCTTGTCTACGGCCCTGTGTTCCCTCCTCCGGTCTCGTCTCCGGCCTGTTTCCCCCCTCCTTCCCTTCTTATGTCCCCTCCTCTGTCTCCTGACCCGACTCCTCCGTCTCACGTCTGGTCTCGCCGTCCCTCCCGTGCTTGGCCTGTCTCCCCTGTCTCGCGCTCTCACCCTACGTTGCTTTGTTCCCACACGTCTCGTCTTCCCCTTCTCCCATCGCCCCCTCCGTCCTCCGTTGTCGTTGCTCCCCCCCCTCTGTCTGCCTACCTGCGTACCGCTCGTCCTCTTGTTCCTCGGGTCCTTGCCTCTCTCGTTACCGGCCCGTCTGTTCCGGTTTCGAGCCTTGACGCCCTTGTCGCTGCGGTCGCTGACTTCGCCTCTACCCGCCGCCTTGACTACGCCACCGCTCTGGTCTCTGACCCTGCTTGTCCTCCGTCTGCCGGGGGTGCTTCTGCCCTCGGCAGCGACGTCCTGGAGGACCGTCAGTACGAGCTTGCTTTCCTGTCCGAGGCTGCTCCCCAACTCTGCTCTATGCTTCTAGTCCCTGA